GAACATGTTTTTATATGTTGGCCGCAATCCTTTCTAAAGTTTAGAAATAGCATTTTCTCATGTTAATTACTTTAATTTTGCAAAGAAAATTAAAGAAGAATAAACAGAATGTTTCAAATTTAGGAAGTAGGAAATATGCGGTGAAATAAATTTGCTTTTTTAAAAGTATAGGCTTTTTAAAGAAAATTTTCATTGCAATTTCCACTTAAAGAAGTTTGGATAGACAGTAGAAATTTCCATTTAAGCTTCTCCTATCACTATGAAGTTATATGCAAATGATCTTTTCCTTTCCTTCTTAATACACAGATTGCAGTTATTTAGTAATTTTGCTTAATGCCTTGGAAATCTTTTATTAAATAAGACAGTATCTAGTACCCAAGATACATCAACATTGACTATCATTAACAGCAATAACCATCATTCTAAATTCTTGAGATGTTATACAGACAATAAGGAAAAATTAAGAGAATTATTTTGGGAAAGGTGATTATAATAGAAAGTATTATTTTTTTTGTCACTAACTAGCATGGCAAATTTAGTAATTATATTATAATGTGTTCTAGAATTAAGTTAAGCTATATCAAAGATCTGTGAGGATATGGAAAACAATCTTAATTTGTGAGGAAAAAACCTTTTATTATGCCCCAAAAGGATGGCTAATTTTACTTTTTTGCACTCAATTGACTATGTGAGTGTGTAAATTTTTCCTTGCATCTCTCTGTAAAATTCAGAACTTAATACTTATTTCTGCCAGCATTGGAGTAAGATTGTGAAGGTCCATGATATAAAATGGACTTTTATTTCACTGGGAAAGAGGTTCTAAAAACATTGCAAAGTAGTATTATTATAACTCCTTACTGTTTCATCCTAACGGCAAAGACTGGCATGCGTCTGTATGGGAACCAAAGTTGCCAGCTTACATTACAATTGTGCTGACCATCTCGAAACATTTTGCACATCACTCCAAACCCTTGTTTAGGACAGTAATAAAGAATATGGTTTTTAATTTGAGCCAGTGTGCTGAAATAATAAAAATAATTAACAATAATGTCATATATAATAATAATAAATTGCTCTTAAATTTCTCTCAGCTTTCCTGGTATTTGGGTAAATATGCGGATTAAATTGAAAAGAAAATATATAAAATAAATTGAAACAAATTGCCGGTGCTCGCATAAATTACAGATAATATTTCCCTTTGGAATATTTAGATGGTAAACATTTTAATATCAACACATTTTATGTGTGAATGGAAAAGGAATGTAATGAAGAAATCAGGGTGAAATTTCTACCTCATTAAATGACTTAAAAATACCCAAGAAGAAAGAAAAGACGCTTTGGGAGGCAAGAAGCACATCTCATCTGATGCTCAGGAAATTCACCACCAGCTTGGCCCAGCATGGACAATTTATCAGTCCTAGGGAATTTGAAAGGGCGAGCTAAGCCGACAATATATTTGAAATGTACTACTAATCTTTTTTGAATCATGTTATAATTTAGCTATCTTAAAATAAGAGAGTAAGACATCCAGGAGAGATGTTATGCAGTCATGTGCTACATATTAACATTTCAGTCAATGATGGACTGCATTTACGATGGTGGTCTCATAGGATTTGTACCATACACACCATCTAGGTTTGTGTAAGTACACTCTATCATGTTCACCAACAGTGAAACCTAATGATGCATTTCTCAGAACATAGCCTGTGGTTAAGTCGACGCATGACTGTAAATGAATAAATTAATTCATTAACACATTTTTATAGAAAACTGTCTATGCAAGGAACAGAGGATTTGATGGTGTACATAGTTCTTGCCTTGAAGGTTAGATTGGAGGGTGAAGTGGGAACCAGACAAGCTAACAGGTAATCACGTGTAAGTACCAAGGCTGCTGCCATATGGAACCCTGCACAGGGGCCTCGGGCTGAGTGGGGAAAGAGGTTTCTGATGACCAAGTTGTGCACCCTGGTGCCAGATGGGTCCCCTGGAGGCACCACATGGCTAGTGGAGGCTGTGATAAGAGCTCTCATTAGGGGAAGCCCAGAGTACTCTGGGAGAACAAACCTAATCTTGAAGTCAGAAAGAATTCTCTAGGGGAAGATGATGATTCCTAAATCAAGAGCAAAAGATAAGGAGGTGTCAAAAGAGGAAAGTGGGGGAACTGGGGTGGAAGTTTGGGAGGACATTGTCTCAGACAAAGCAAGTATCTTGTGTGGAAAGGCCTGGAGGCAAAAGAACATGAAACTTGCTTGGAAGTTTCAGGAGAACACAGGCCTCCAAAAGGAGGTCAATCAGGAGAGGATACTCCTATTTTTAAACAATCCTCAGTTAAAGGGAGCAATACCCCTAGAACAACCCCATTTTGATTTTCAGGCTCTTCTAGGCCAGACTGCGGGGTTGTGGGGGAGCGGTTAATGGAATCCAGCAGAGTGTGGAGCTACAAGATGGAGGATATCCTTGAAGCTCTGACTCCTTATGTCCCAGATTCTATTGGTACTTTACAAATAAAATGAAATTCTAAGCACGTTCTCTAAAGGTTTCAGTTCAGAGCCTGGTTTTCAGAAGATATTTTTTGCATAAACTGTTTTGGGGATAGAATTGAGAGAGAGAATAGGATCCTGTGCTCTTTTTGTGTTAGTCTCAGGTCTCTGAGAAGGAATTCAAAGTCAAGTGCTATGCGTATGTGTGTGTCAAATAGGGATTAAATAATGCCCATAAATCCATGGCAGCACTTTGTTCTTGGGAAGGAAGATAGAAGCGAACAGAGAGATCAGTTTTATGTATTTCCATATTTTAAAATTGGAAAAATTGGGAGAAAATATTAGCATTTATTAACTTGGGTCATCAGTAGCCAGATTTTTTATATTTTCTATTATCTGCTTTTTTTAAGAAAAAAAATAATAATCAGATGTCTCTTAGCAGATGTTTGGCTCTTCAAGGCCAAACATTCCTGCCACTTGCCACACCCACAAACCTCAGTTTAGCTGGAGAAGCAAAACTAGCATCTCCTCTTTTTCAATTTTGTTAATTTCGTGATCATGCCCCTTCAAGGTGGGCTGATTTCTGATGTGATCATTTTAATATGAATGTATAGTCAAGTCGAAAGAGATGAAACAAAATTCTCTTTTCTTATCATCTATTAATATATAATGAAAATATTTAAAAATAAAGTGATGTAATAGCAAGCCAAAGATCATTATATATCTGATATTTGAGAGTCTATGAAGCTTAGGAGACTAGATATATACATCTAAAAAGGAAAGAAAGACAGACAGAAAGGCAAAGAAAGAAAGAAAGGAAGGAAGGAAGAAAGAAAGAAAAAGAACGAACGGATGGAAGGAAGGAGGAAGAGAAGAAAGAAGAGGAAAGACAAAAAGAAGGAAAGAAGAAGGAAAGGAAAGAAAGGAAGAAAAGGAAAGGAAAGAAGAAAGGAAGTTAGCTTACATCTCATTATCACTAGATGTCAGAGTTTTCAGGTTTTATTTAACACTGTCACATTGGGTTGTGAGTCGGAGATGTGGATGCTTGTGCTTGTTCACCAGTGCAGATACTTAGCTCATATTTGAACATTCTCTGTTGGCCAGAGTTTCTACAAGCTTCAGCCCTTTTATTATTTGGAAGAAATGAATTATTATCATGGACATCAGTGATTGATGGGTAGACAATATGAGGAATAAATTCTAATTAGCAGAGAAGTTGTTTATTGTTGAATGCCAACTTACTTTTCTCTAGAGTTATTTACCAATTCACAATCCAAACAACAGGGCACCAAAGAGCCTCTTTCTCCATCTTTCCTGACACAGAGGTGTTCCACTCCTCCACCCAATATTTTCATCTTTGTAAATCTCACAGATCGAAATGCTAATAATAACTTAATTGAATGATATTTTTGTGCCAGATATTGTGTTAAGAACTTCTCATGTCACTTAATAACTTCAACAACACTTTTACTAGCTCCACATCGTAGATAAGGAGACAGGTTTAGAAAAGTTCAGAAAATTACCTGCACTTGCCCAGCTATTAAGTGTAGAACTGAGATCCAAACCCAGGCAGTTAGGTCTCTGGAATCCAAGCTCTCAACCACTTTGTTGGACCTCTTCTTGGTGTTGTTTTTAAGTCACATTTATTTGAATACTAGTGAGGTTGCACATCTAGTTATCAAGAATGCTGTCTCCCAATCTCGTTGAAGGAGAGGCAGTATAACGTAGTTATTGAAAACATGGGACTTGACGTGAGACTCTCTGGATTCAAATCTTGTTTTACCACTTACGAAATAGGACCATGAACAAATTGTCCTCTGAAATTAAGATACTAATATGCTTACCTCCTAAGGGTGTGGTGAAGAGTAAATGTGATAGATAATATATCAAATGCTTAGCTGAGTGGCTAGTACATCATAAGCAAATAATAAATATAAAAGTAGTCTAATAATACATTGTTGTTGTTAAGAAAGATACCAAACTAAGAGGCTAAGAGGCCAGGTCATTAGAAACAAATGTTGTTTGTGCCAGAAAGTAGAACCAAGAGTGTTTTTTTATTTCCTGTGTTCCATGTACCTATTATTCTTCTAAGCACAACATTAAAGAACATTAACAGTCACCTAGCTGCCTCTGATTGTACCTGTTAATCTTGGGATTAGGCTAGAAAGACACTGATTCATTTTTTCATTCAGTGTATTTTAATTTCAAACCCTGTGCTAGACATTGTGTTAGGCAGAACTCTGAGTCTGTCAGTTGTTCTATCATTAGTCTATAACCCAGACACCCACCAAAATCTCTTGATATGTGTCAACAGATGATAGCAACTGACTATTCCTGAAACTTAAAATGACCGAGTAGTCCATATGTCAGAACCTGTTGCATAGTTTTGTATAATCTCTTAGGAAGTTTGTGTGAGTACACTCAGATTTCTTTTAGAGATTCACAAAATGTTATACTTTTCTTGTTCCTCAGGGCTCATCAACATACCTGCAGTGGCCCTTGGCATATTCTCTGGGGGATTGTTATGAAGAAATTCAGAATCAGTGTGTGTGGAGCCGCAAAACTCTACTTGGGATCATCTGTCTTTGGGTACCTCCTATTCCTGTCCCTGTTTGCATTGGGCTGTGAAAATTCTGATGTGGCAGGACTAACTGTCTCCTATCACGGGTATGTTCATTCATTAAATAATCTGAGGAGATTGGCTTGTTTAATCAGATGAGTTATTGATAGTGTTTCAAACTAAGATAATTTGATTTTCAAGCATAACTATGGGAAGGGAATTATCGTTTTGTTGTGGAAGAGCTGACAGTACTTATGGCATGGAAACTGTCATTGTAACCAAAATCTGTCATCTCCTTTGAATTTGAATGTCTCAGAGAAATATTAAAAATGCTAAACCCACATCTTACTTTAGAGAAGCAACCTTGTAGGGGAGCATACAGACCTTGAATCTTGTCTCTGCCCATTCTTAGTGAAGTGATGTGGTATGGGTTATTTAATCTAATTCAGTCTCAATTTTCCCATTTTAAAAATACAAATAATAACTGCCTGTTAGGGTTTTGTAAAACTTAAGCAAGATAATATACATGAAAGTGATTAGTACTTGCCTGGTACAAAATAGATGTGCCATTCACAGAAAACAATTGCATTTTTTTTTTGAACACCTGGACAACCAGAGTGGTCTCTATGCCACCCTTCATAGTCTCTGTTGTACTCAAATCATGTGAAGTTTCTGGAGAGAATGGCTATCCCTCAACCTAGTGACCCGCATGACAGCTCTCTTTAGCTCTTTGCAGTTGGTCAAGAGAATATTTGTTGATGCTCTCAGACCTATGCCATTCTGTATGGGGTGGGAAATTAGCTTTCTTAGTTTCCAGAGTCTATCACTCTTCTACAAGGCTGTATCTTGAAGAAACTATTTTGCTCTTTCCGTCAAGAGTCCTTACCATCGCTCTACCTCTGAACAGGAGTTTCCAGAGGCAGTTCTCTTCATCCTTCCACTTATTTATACATTATTTGGTTTTAAAAAATTATGGAGCCACCACTGTGTGCCAGGCCAACCTCCCTTATTGTGTCTGCCTGATTGCCTGAAACTCTGCTGTGGCTCAAAGGCAAATGCTCCTGACATTACATTCTGTTTCATGCAGGTTCAGCTACTTCCTTATTCTTGCTTGCTCTCCAGCTCTCTTCCTATTCTTCTTTCCATGCTTATCTATCTGTCTTGTCTCTATGTTCCAATCTCCATCACCTTCCTTAACTTGATTTCCCCTGCTGCTAAGTGAACATGAGTTACACTTTTTGCCATCTAAAATGTCTAGGTAAATTAGGGAATGTAAATTTCATATATTGCTCCTTCTGGGAGTTCTCATAGCAATGTTAGACTTAAATGAGTAGAATGTTGCCTTGGTAACAGTCAGCAATGTAGAATAAGAGAGTTAGTTGTAAACAGCAATTGCAAGAAGGTTCTAGAGAGAGTAGAAACCCTGTGTGAACTTTAAATGTCCCCATGTTCCTCATGGTAGATGGACAATGAATGGCAAAGTACTTTGTATTTTGCAATTTACAAAACCCATTAACTTTTGTTATCTCCCTTTACCCTCAGAACACCTTTATGAGGTAAGTTTTGTTATCCTTATTGAAGGAAGCTGAGTTTAGAAAGGTCAGTTAGCTTCCTCAAAGTACAATAGTCCTTCTACAGCATCACGCTGTGTCTAAGACAAAAGAAAACACACAAACAGACAAGAGCAAACTTTTGAGGTTCAAAAGAGTTGACTCACATAAAAGATTAAACATTCTCAAACAAATGAAAGATAATATATTCATTGAGTGAGTACTAGCCCTTGAAGGCAGTCACCTTGAAAAACTATAACTGCATTGTGATAATTGTTTAAAACATTCTAAAGCTCCTCTTTTGAAGTTGCTTTCCAAATTTTTTAGAATATTTTCAACAACGGCAAAGATTTAACCTTTAAGAATAGCTTTGTTATTGGAAGCAGCCAAAAGAAATGGCAATATCGCTGGGAAAATCTCTTGCCTCCCAGCATGATTATTTTGAAAGCAAAATCTCATTTGAGTATAAACATTCTGGCATATTTGATAAAACTCATCTTATAATTAAAATTTTAAATAACAACTCCACTGTCAACACATCCTTCATAAAGTATGTATGCAATTAACTTCTGCTTCCAGATTGCTTTAGACAACAAATTTAACTTACTTTCAGGAATGTAAAATCATTGGCTTTATAAAATACAATATGCTCCCAGGAATTTTCCTGAGTTGCTTTGCTCCACAAGGCTGTTTTGATTTGGACATTCAACAGGAACAGTGTAGACAAGCTTTAGATATGGTAATGGAAGGATCCTTTCTTCTGCAATAATGAGAATAAGTCTGGTGTGAGAGAAGAATTTAAAATCAAGAGGCCTGGAAGGGTTCTACTTCTATTTGTCACTAATAAATGGTGTGAATTTGAGCAATTATCTGCTCACTTGGGACCTGACTTTCCTGGTCTGCCAAATGAGGAGCTGGCACAGATCACCCCCAGAGTTCCTTTCAGCTCCAAGTTTCTATGATCTCAGCCCTATGGTACCCATAGTGGCCTGATTCTTGGCTTTCAAAGGTACATATTTATACTTTCAGACACTACCAAACAGTGGTAGTTAGCAATGCTTATGGAAGAGGATAGGATGAAATATTTCTGTATAACTTCTATTTAAAAGGTTAAATTCCCTTTTACTCTGTTTGGAGACATTTAAGTGGTCTTTCATTTTTATTTTTGAGGTGACCAAACCCATGGCACTTCTACTAGATGGAATATTACATCGATGAAGAAATTAGGCTTGCAATCGTTATAACCTCTCAGACAGATGGGCCAAAAGACTGATGTTTTTCTCTAAAATAGAATACCATTTTTCTTTGATTGATTGACTTACCAGAAATCTTGTTTCTTAGTCTGCTACACGCCAGGGCTTGTTCTTGGTAGTGGAGATATGGAAGTGAAGTGAATAAAACAGATAGTTCCTGCCTTCACTGAGTGTACATCCCAGCGTATGTTTTTTGTTTTTTGGGGGTTTTTTGATGAGGAAGATTCCCCCTGAGCTAAGAATTGTTTCGAATTGTCCTCTTTTTGCTTGAGGGAGATTGTTCCTGAGCTAACATCTGTGCCAATCTTCCTCTAGTTTGCATGTGGCACATAGCCACAGCATGGCTTGATGAGTGGAATGTAGATTTGCCCCAAGATCTGAACCCACGAACCCTAGGCTGCTGAAGTGGAGTGCACAAACTTAACCACTATGCCACCAGGCCGGGCCCCCAGTGTATGTTTTTTTTTGTTTTAAGTCCCTCAAGTACCTTTGTAAAAAAAAAAAAAAAAAAAAACAGCAACAAAACAGGGAGAGGAATAAGCAAATAAGTAAAGAAATTCAAAATGGGAGAGAAAAAAACGTGAATTATGAAGGGCCAATGGTTGGCAAATGAGCAGATAAAGGAGAGATACCGTTGTATAAGTACCTCCTTAGAAGAATAGAGCCATGTGAATAGTGCAAGGAGCATAAGAGTAGAGATTAGGCAGTTCAGGTGAGAGGAAGAAATAGAAGCAAGAGAGAAGGAATTCTGGGAGAAGACAAGAGAAAATGAGAGAGAGAGAGCAAAAGAGAGGGAGAGAAAAGAGAGGAGACGGGAGAAATTACGTAAAGCAACTTAAAAAGTCCCAGCTCCTTGGGGGCAAAAAATATTGTCTCATTCATGTTTGTAAGTATCTTCCCTCCTCCCAAAGTTAGCACTTAGCAGACTTCCAATAAAACTTTATGGAAATTGAACGGGTAATTCATTGAAGTAGCATGTGAAGTCAAGTCAGAAAGGATGATATAAGACATGGAAGAGCTTCAAATAGTAGAAGGATATGTGGGAGAGAGAAAAGTAAGATGAACTGGCAATGCATTTATTAGTAAGACATGCACAAGTAGGATATGTAGCTCCTACACATGTTGAAATAAGGTGGACTGCTCAGCTATTTTTTCTTTCACCACATCGTTAACAATGCCCATTCCACTGACGCTCAGACAACAATTCTGAAGGAAACTTGCGCACACACACACACACACACACACACGGAGAGCCTGCTAAGCATTTATGTCATACGTTGCTCTGAAGGTTTACTTTACTTTTCTACCTCATTGCCATTTTCATACACCTTTGCATAGAAATATATTAGAGGATCCTAAAGGCAGTAGACGTTAGAAAAAGCCATAAGCCAAGAACTAAATATTGTGTGAAGTTGTAAACCTCTAAAGATAACCTTAGAGAAAACTGCTTAATAGTTTTATAGTGGATTCACATTTAATGATCACTAGCTGGCATTTCTGATGACAGTTATGTCTCCAAAAGGCAAACTTTGTTGGCAACGCCATTTATATCACTCAAGAACATTGATTTTTTAAAAATATTAGGGTGCTGCCTGCTAAGAGGTAATATTTTATACTGTCGCATTTCTTTTCAGAACCAAACCTGTCTCTTATCATGAACGAGCTCTCTTTTCAGATTGCAACTCAAGATGCAAATGTTCAGAGACAAACTGGGAACCCATGTGTGGTGAAGATGGAGTCACATATGCATCGGCTTGTCTGGCTGGTTGTCAAACCTCCACCAGGAGTGGAAAAACTATTGTAAGAACTCTTCTGTAAAGTGTCAGCCCACGGGTCTGCTACAGTGCATAACTACACTACTCTATGAGGGCTCAGCCACCAACCCGGCCGCAGACCACGCTGGGAGGAGCCCTGCCTCTTAATCTACCCTAGTTCTTTTCTGTGGAGACAGGATATATAACCGTCACTAGTGGAACTAGAGTTGTTGAAAGAATTAGGGTAAGAATTAGAATCATGAAACAGGCTGGAGGAACTTTGTAACTGCATCATCTAGTTCTCTCATTTTGCTTATTAGGAATATTAGCTCTGAATGAGAAAATCTCAGCCATAAGGTCATCTAATAAGATCTGCATTGGGATCCAAGTCTCCTGACCCCAAGACCAGTGGTCCTTGGAGGCTTTAGGGGCAGGACAAATAGAGGCCAATGGTAGGATGTCTAGCCCACGAGGTCTAGACCAAGGGGTCAGGAATCTGATTGTGAGGAGGATGATGGTTCTGAGACGGCTCTGCCTGAGAATTCAAACCAATTTGTGTAATAAAGAAAACAGTAAGTAGGTGGCTAGAATGAAGAGTTTTTGCAGGGTAAAGTAGGGATATGAGGTTGGAAATATAGGTAGGAAACCAACTGGTTTAAGGATATTATGTATTCCAATCATGAACAGACTCATCCCTCTAATCATACCTTTACATTCCTGTCCCAAACATGGACTCTTCTTTACACCTGCTGTGTATACAACACGCTGGTCACACTGCTTTCTACTTGTGGCTGATGAAATCTGCCTGTATTTGACAGTCCCAAAGGGCTGAAAGTTAAACCACACATATATTTACATATGCTTATCAATTAGGTAAGAATGCATAGGCAGACGTTTCTGCGGACACAGTAATGCAGGTTGATTTTTGCTGTTTATTGTTATTCTGATGTTTTATTCAGACAGAAAGGATTGGTCTCTAGCAACAGTAGATAAGACTACCCACCCATCTGAAATCTGAGTTTTCACCCTCCCTCCATTTTCTTCCTTCTTTCCTTTCTTTTTTTTTTTCTTTCAGCCACTACTCTTCTGCCCAAATTGCTTGGAAGTTTTTCTTACCTGGAGCTTCCACGTATTGAAGACATTGCATGTCAGGGACTAAGAGAGGTGCTTTAAAATCACAATTGCCTTGAAACATCATGGTTCTCAAGTAATTGAGTATTATTTTACTTATTTTCCTCACTTGAGGACTGAGGCACTGAGATGCAAGGGACCTACCTAAACTCACATCTCCAGTGAGAGGCAGAGTCAAGATTCAGAAGCTTTTTACCCGAAATTCAGAAAAAATCTATATTGCTACTCTTCTTTGAACAGGAAATGCCAGGTTTATTTCATTGTTTATCTAAAAATTTACAAACTCTTCTGTGATAAGAATGACAACTCATTATATACACACTGATACATGAAATTTACTGAAATAAACTGATGAGGGATTATAAAAGTTGCCTTTCTATCCAAAATTTAGTTGAGTCTTATTCAAGATTTTTTTCCTAGTAACCACTATAAATTCTGTCGTATCCTCAAACTGTGCCCATTTGTTTAACAAATTTTCATTTAGTGCCTAGAAGGAGGGTCTATTTTAGGTGCTAGATGGACAATGATGACGAAGCAGACAGTTCTGCCAGAGGTTACATTTTAGTGGGGATATATAATTTAGAATAAATGATTCTATAGTATTCCAATAGTTAGTAATGAGCACTGTGAGGAAAAATGTTAGGATGAAAGGGTGCAGAGATGGGGTATTATTTTGAATGGGTGATCATGGAAGCTCTCTTTAATGAAATATCTGAGCAGAGACCTGAAGTGTGTGCACCAGCCGTGTAGCTGTATAGGAGAAGAGCTACCCAGCAGAGAAAACAGCACAGCCATGAGGCCTGGGTAGGCTCACTGTGTTTGAGGGTTGCCAAGGGTACAGTGAGAACCCATGTGTGCGGCTATAGCAGAGGGAAAGGGGAAAGATCATTGAGTGGTGAGATCAAAGTGGGATCTAGGAGCTACATCATGGATAGTTTGTAAGCCGCTATAAGGATTTGGGATTTTATACAAGTATAATGAGAAGCTATTGGAAGGTTGAGAATAGATATGCAATCTGACTGCCATTTTTAAAGGCTTGTTTTGGTAACTGTGTAGCTAAGAGACTATAGCTGGATAAGAGTAGAAACAGATTGAGCATGAAGAGCCCATTGCAATAATCAAGGCAAGAAAAAATGGCGGCTTAGACTTGGAAGTGGGAGAGAAGGACACAAGCTATGGTTGGATGTGGTAGAATTTGCCGGGAGATTATTCTGTAGGATGAGTAGTTTGTAGACCAACCATCTGCTGTTTGGATAATGAAATGTTGTACCTCTATAGATTTCACTCTGCTCAATATACCCTAACACAGAAAATAAAAGAATATTTTCTCCATTGTTTATATAATGCATGTATACTGTACTGTGAAGGTTTTAAAGTAAATATTTATCTTTAATTTTATTTCAATGTTCCCTCAATAATTGGACTTTTCCCTATTGTGTTACAGATATTTTATAATTGCACCTGTGTGGGAATTGCAGCCTCTAAATCAGGAAATTCCTCAGGCATGGTGGGCAGATGTCAAAAAGATAATGGATGTCCCAGAATGTTTCTGTATTTCCTTGTAATTTCAGTCATCACATCCTATATTTTATCCCTCGGTGGCATACCTGGATACATATTGCTTCTGAGGTGATCATTGATTCTCCCCAGCCCAATTGTGATATAAGACCCTACAATCACCTAGAGCAGACATTTCAGATTCTGTTCTGTGGCATCGTCATGACTTCTTATAACTCAGGGAACTTGTCCCACATCTTTGTTTCACTTTTATAGCTTTCCCACTTTAGCTTATTATACAAAAGTGTGGTCGAATAGTTGTTTTCCTATTTAAAAATGTTTGCAAACCATTGTTCCAGAGAGCAATGTTAGTGCCTACATCACTGTGGCCACTCAAGAAGTTCAGTCTGCTATTTCTAATGCTGGTATAATTAACTAGTATAGACAAAATGTGTTTTAGATTAAACATAGTTCCACCGAATTGTGAGTGATACAACTTCTAAGACACCTGAAAGGCTCATCTAATGCCACAGTGTTTTACATTTATTATTTTGATGTATAGGTTATTACCTGTCTATGTAGTCTCGCCCTGACTGACTGGAATTATCTGTGGAGGATTTCCTGGGTATTGGATCAATCGAGAATCCTAATCCATGAATATCATGTCAATGACTGCAAAAATTTTTGCTTATAAAACTCTAAGAGAATTTTCAAAACTATGTACCCTCTTGCATATTTTTAAGTGGACATCTAAATATTTTTTATCATAAGTTTAAATAGTAGCTAAGCGTTGATTTCTAGTCTATTGTAAATATTTACAGTTAAAAATATAGCAATTTTAAATGTCACTCTTTTGAATGTAATCCATGGGATCTAAAGAACAGTGATTAGATTAAAAAATATCACCTAATTTAAAATTATATGAAAGGACATTTAACAGTAAAAAATGTTACATTTCTTTTCTTCTCTTAATACGTATATCTTCAATCAACTTCTCTATAGGCTTTTATTCTATTTTAACATAATTTATACCTGAACATTTTTTATTGACTGTCCCAGCATATACATCTCTATAAAAATTTATATAATTTCAAATTTTAAAATATTAGTTTTATAATCAGTATTCCCAGTGATAAACTTTTCTTCCTGATTGAATTAGCTTTGCAAGCATTGCTATTATACAATTGATCAAAATAACCAAAAATATTACAAATTTTGATAAAATTTTAAACATGAAAGACAAATTTCACTGGAAGTTAATCTTTTGTGAGATGGATTAGGTGATTTTAAAATTAATTCATAAATCCAAGGATGAAAAAGTTTTTCTAAAATTAGACTAATCAAAAGTATCGTATGCATCTTTAATTTCCCACAGTTTACATCATGGAAATTGATTAGGAAAGATAAACAAAAAATAGGACCTAGCATCCACAAATCTGTTATTCATAAACTGCTTAAGGAAGACATGAGATATTTGTGTGGACAAATGGGAACAGGGGTTTGAGACGATGGGAAAGCATTGCCCCAGAGTTCTCAGACCAGGATTGTTCTTTATGGGTGGCTGTTTCTCCCACGTCTTAATACTGTGCCAAGTAGTCATCTGGGCCAAGTGAAAAATCAGGCTACTGGAGGAAGGTTTGCTTACTACCAGTCCTTCAAATGAACTGTATTTTGATGTCAGAAAGAGATATCCTTGGACTGAAGTAGAAAAGTTGTAATTCTTGCCCCTTCTACAGCAGAGACTAAATAATATTGTACATATGAAGAACTGAGTACCATGGTTAACACTCGATAGTTGTTATATATCACCATGATTATTACTATTAAAATCCACAGGCTAATCAAAGCTATTTAGTCATATTAAGGACACTCTTATTATTTTAGGTGTTCTTGTGCTTGGTGAGATCCCCACTATTTGCAAAAACTCTTAGCATGCCACAGTGATTGTAACTGTATCAACTCTGATCAATATGGTCCTGTGATTTTCGACCAAAAGCCACAAAAACTAGTTATAGGTTATCAATCCTTTATCATTGTTTCAAATTCTTGCAATTTCTTAGAAATTTGAGCTTTCTTTTCCTGTGAGAATTTGTTGGTTTGTTGATTAAACTTAGTATTTCACTTTACCCAACACCATTTGAGTATGTCATGTAGGGTGATTTGCCTTCTAGAAATATTAAGTATATATTAACTATAAACTCCTGATGCATGTAATCAAACATGACTTTTACGTAATTTGCCTTCCCTATGCTAGGACACTAGTGGGTTCTTCATTATTGCTACTTGAATTCTAACAACATTTCATGTATGTTAAGTTAGATTATCACTGATGTTAATAATTGCTTTAATGAACTATATATGTATATTTTATAATAGTGCCTTTGTTGCTTTCAGGTGCATTAAGCCACAACTTAAGTCTTTTGCCCTGGGTATCTACACCTTAGCAATAAGAGTCTTTGGTAAGTATAATCTGTGTTTAGTCATGGTAGCCATCACAAATGATTTTTGAGTACTTTTCTAAGTGTTTTTACAGAATTATCACACATAACTAAATGATGGAGGTGGTCAGGTCCCTACTGTTTTTATTTTTTTCTTCCTTCCTTCTCTCCTTTCTTTGACTTCTCCCTTCCTTTGTTCCAGAAATATTTATTGAGAGCCAATGCTGTGCCTGAGGAATAATAAAGTGGTTTTGTGAGAGTAATGACATTTTTTCTTTAACAATCTTGTCTCTTCCAGCACTGGTCTATTGTCAAAAAGTCCATTGCTATTATGGGAGAGCCTTCTGAGAGGAAAACAAAAATGAGTCAGTAAGAAAGGCTGAAGCCTAAATATAATGTTTTCAGTTATTAAAATGGAAGGGACTCTTTTAAGCTACTCTCAATGCTAGGATATGTCATTTGGTAGAAAGATCAGATCATTCACACAATCGAAGCAGTATGCATTTGAGATCATTATTTTTTAAACGTAATTGGAATGTTTTTTCTGACTACCACGTTTTTCAATTTGCGTTAGTTAAAGCTCATAGAAAACAGAGTGACTCAGATGAGGTTTCTGTCCTTAAAGAATATATTCTAAGAAAGAAAGTAAAACAATCGTAAATGTTCCTCTGTAATTTGACAGAAAAGAGCTATCTGGGAGAAAAACAAACTCAGAGCTTGGAAAAATCTGAAAATAAAGGTAGTTTACATAGATCTTGACACAAAATCAATATATATGAAGATACAATATAATCCTGATAAAATTGGGGAAACAACAAAAATGGAGGTTTATGTCATCGTGGCTGGCTCTAATTCTACGATATAAAAACAGAGATGATCTAGAAAAATGTTAGGTTGTTGAGCCTGAAATACATCACTGGCCACAATTAGTCTCTCTCTCTCCCTGTCTTTGGGAAGATAGACGTAACCTACAGAGTCAAAAAGATTTTAAGCAAAAGAAATGGTTCATAAAATTGATTCCATGAAAATAAAAATATACTTGAAAATGACAAAAAACATCATAAGCAAAGGCAAAAGGCAAATAACAAACTGGGAACAATTGTTTTTTCGATTTCTATAATAGACAAGTGGCTACTATCCCTACTGTATACAGAGGGTTCCCAAGTGTTGAGCACAAAAAGCCCAACAACCAAATAGAAAAATGAGCAGAAAATATGAACAGCCATTTGGTGGAAAACAATGTAAATGCCTCTTAATATATAAAATGATGGTCAAACTCTCATAATAAGAGTAAAAATTATAACTACACTGAGATATTGATACTTACATATCAGATGGACAAATTACCAAATGTTGTCTGCAGCGTATGAGAAAATAGATGTGCTTGTACATTGCTGTTGAGAAAATGATACCATTTCTGGGGAGGATTATGTGGCAATAACTGACAAAATTACACAGAGACTTATTTTTGGACCTAGCAATCCCACTTCTGAGAACTCATGCCAAAAATTTGCTAGTGAAAGTATAAACCAAGTCTAATCTTATGGATTAGTCTCATCGTATGAATAAGTCTAATCATTGTGCCGTTGTTTATAATAGCAAAAGACTGCAAGCAGTCTAAACGTCCATCAGTATGAGCTGGTTGAATAAACTATAGTAAACCAATGAAATACAGCTGTAAGGACAAATGGGGAAAAATGTCTCTTTCAGGTTACCAAGTGCATTAGTTAGCTCTGGCTGCCATAACAAAATAACATGGTTGGGGGGCTTAAACAACCGGAAAACTATTTCCTCATAGTTCTGAAGGCTAGGAAGTCCAAGATCAATGTGCCAACAGGGTTGGTGTCTGGTGAGACTTCTCTTTCTAGTTTGTGGATGGCCACCTTCTTGCTGTGCCTTCACATGGCCTTTCCTCTGTGAGCGAGAGAGAGAGAGAGATCTATGAAGTCTCTTAGTCTTCTTGTAAGGACACCGGTCCTATCGGATTGGGGCCCCACCCTTATGACCTCATTTAACCTTAATAATCTCCTTAATTACTCTGTCTCTGCATGCAGTCACATTGGGGGTTGGGACTGCAACATATGAATTTTGGAGGGACATAATTCAGTCTATAATACCAAGTGATCCCCAGGGTATGCTATTAAGTGAAAGGGAGCAAAATGTAGAACATATTTATAGTGTGATGCATTTGGTGTAAGTATGGAAAAGTAGAAATATTATACACACACACACAAAGGTATTTTCTCATTTAAAAAAAGAAAAAACAGTGGAAGCATAAACTAGAAACTAGTAAAAAAAAAAAAGGTTAAGCTTACATGTTAGGGAAGAAAGGAAAGAGAGGAGAGAGGACAGGATGGAAATGATACTTTGTAAATGTAACTTATATAATTTTTAATTTGAAATTGTGCAAAGTTTTTATGTCATTAAAAAACAATTAAATTAAAAGAACAAAAGAGATTCTTAAACAAACTGAAACTAGCTGTATACCATATTGGTGGCATAACCACACACAAAAAAAACTTTAAATGGCTTAAAAAGATAGAATTATTACTAAATCCCCATAGCTTCGTGACGTTTTATAGTCTTATCATTAATATTAACTTTGGCATTTTTATGTTGAAACTATTATATATTTTAAGGTAAAGTGAATAAGATATTATATTAATATCATTAGGAATCAATATATTCAGCATAATAGAGAAGTGATAAAAGTGTAAAATAACTTAAGTAAAACCCATTAATTTAAATTTAAAATGTCAATA